ACCACTACAAACTGTTGATCAACAGTTTGTAGTTGTGTTGAAATGTATCACATTAATTGTTGTCACTATACAGTAGATCTGTCAACAGTTTGTAGTTGTGTTCAAATGTATCACATTAATTGTTGTCACTATACAGTAGTGTTGTCAACAGTTTGTAGTGGTGTTGAAATGTATCACATTAATTGTTGTCACTATACAGTAGTTCTATCAACAGTTTGTAGTTGTGTTCAAATGTATCACATTAATTGTTGTCACTATACAGTAGTGTTGTCAACAGTTTGTAGTGGTGTTGAAATGTATCACATTAATTGTTGTCACTATACAGTAGTGTGGTAGAACTACTGTATAGTGACAACAATTATTGTGATACATTTCAACACCACTACAAACTGTTGACAACACTACTGTATAGTGACAACAATTAATATGATATATTTTGACATCACTGCACACTTTCCAGTTCAACTAATGATTGTTTCATCTGCCATGTGCTTATTACAATCATATTGTTCTGTGTTTTCACACCAGAACATTTGCTTCAGTTCTTGTAGTCTGAAGTTTCCTGTGTTGGTTCACCTGCTGAAGGAGGTGTTGATGGAAAACTACTCAAACCGGTAGATAGTGGAAAACACGCAATCGTATCGATCAAACCAACAAATACTCGACCTCAAACTTCTGCTGTGTTTGTTCTTATTCAAATATCGCTCAGTCCATTGTTAAATAACATAAACTTTGGGGACTTCTTAGGGAAGAAAAGTATAGCTAACGTAACTGTTACACAAAACTAGAAGAAAACCATATCCCTCAGTCCATTGTTAAATAACATAAACTTTGGGGACTTCTTAGGGAAGAAAAGTATAGCTAACGTAACTGTTACACAAAACTAGAAGAAAACCAACTTTATTTTGAAATGAATTAAGCTCTGAAGATGTAATGTACATTATATTAATGTACTTAATATAATGTATTAAGTGTAATATCACTTAATGTTAAGTGATATTAACTGGTGATCATACGGTGGTGTGTTTACAGATAGATGACCAAATGTAGAATAAAGTGTAGGATTGGGTCTTGTCTTCTCACGTGACCAAATCAAGTTACAATCAGTGTTTTAAAATGATGAAAAAACAAAGCTTTGTTTCGTATCTCTACAACGAAAGACATCTTGTGAGTCAAGTGGAATGACCGGGTAAGTGAAATTTGTATTGGGTTCCAATAGACACCTTAAAAGTTGGGTTGAGCCATTTATGTAATTTATGGCCAGTTAGGCATCTCAGGTAGGCCTTAAAAACTTCAATCTTATACAAGCCCTTCCAAGCTAGGCTCTGCAGTACAAACACGTGCCACGCTCGTAAATGAAATTTAAATGTATAGTACCTTTATTGAGGCTTCATTCTTCGCTTATCCACATATCTGATTAGCCTGTGCTGTCACGTGATCGGGGATGACCTGCCGTTGTCGCGGCTACCACTCCCATGCCTTGTGACCTCATAATGATGTCACGGTGTACGGTCCTGTAGGTTGAGATCTTTTTAGGAAATTGACGTTTTCAAGCACGTCGTAAAATTTTATTCCTCGTAAAGCTGTTAAGACTTGCTTTAAGTGCTCAATAAATGCTAGTATTCCTGGTGTGTGAATATAATACGCTGGTTGTTTGTGTAACAAGTGCACGTAGTACTCACGTGCAGGTATCCCCCCCCCCCCAATTAAACAAAGAGCGTTTGAGTGTTCTAAATATGAACTATAATGATAATTTACCTTTTGATGTTCGACTGTGACGGACATTCGTATATCTGACTAGGTGATTATATAATAAAATTGGTTCAGCTTCAGACCCCTAGCGGGTGTTTGTAGTAACTTAGTACGTAATGTCAGTTAAAATTACAGTTTTTTTTTAAATGTTATACGAATTATTAAGTATTTTAATTCAGACGAAACGTTAATTTCTCTATCTCTAGTAATGCAAACTACACGTTTCTGTTTCATTTCAAGACCTACAACATAAAATAACTACGCACAAGAAAATAGAGATAAATTAGATCAGTTTTAAATTCACGTGTTTATTATGATCAACAGCTCATATTCCTCGGACGAAAATCAACAAAATGGTACTGATAATGTTACTATGCAACGTTCTGCACGTGCGCAGCTTGGAGTAAAACAACACGTCCTAAGCCTAATAAATCATAACGAACCTTCCGCAAGAGGGTGCACCGAGATACGCTAACCTGGCATCCTCAATTGCCAGTTAGAGAGAGAATTACCTACAGACTTTATGTCACTGTAAGAGTCCTGTCATTGGTACAAAACTGATCTGAATGTAAGTAAACACCAGCAAGGATTTCCTTGAAAAACTACCTTTTATTATTGTGGCTGCGAACATGACCCTATCTTTCTGTAATATCTTAGAAAGTATTGTGGCTGCGAACATGACCGTATCTTTCTGTAATATCTTAGAAAGTCTTGTGGCTGCGAACATGACCCTATCTTTCTGTAATCTCTTAGAAAGTCTTGTGGCTGCGAACATGACCCTATCTTTCTGTAATATCTTAGAAAGTCTTGTGGCTGCGAACATGACCGTATCTTTCTGTAATATCTTAGAAAGTCTTGTGGCTGCGAACATGACTCTATCTCTCTGTAATATCTTAGAAAGTCTTGTGGCTGCGAACATGACTCTATCTCTCTGTAATATCTTAGAAAGTCTTGTGGCTGCGAACATGACCCTATCTTTCTGTAATATCTTAGAAAGTCTTGTGGCTGCGAACATGACCCTATCTTTCTGTAATATCTTAGAAAGTCTTGTGGCTGCGAACATGACCCTATCTCTCTGTAATATCTTAGAAATTATTGTGGCTGCGAACATGACCCTATCTCTCTGTAATATCTTAGAAATTATTGTGGCTGCGAACATGACCCTATCTCTCTGTAATATCTTAGAAAGTCTTTCTTGTCGAGTATCTAATTCCTTGGTTTCCTCAAGTCAATAATCTACCTGCTATTATTTGGTACGAACGAAAATGAGAATAAAACTTATCACATAAAACGTGATCACCTACCGCCAATCACAGCTCGTGGATGACTGCTAATGTGGCATTTTTAATTATTATTATTTTAATGAAGATTTCCCATGTCGAGGATCATATTTAAGCTGTAACGACAATATGAGAAACAGACCCGATCCAGACAGTCTGAGCTGTTAACAGGGCATTATTCTACCCATTACATTATAAGCCCAACCTTAACCATGAACTTAGATATAAAGCTGTTTTGTAAAACCAATACTTGATAGACTATAATTGAGTGAAAAACTCATTTCCGTATGTGACGTCACCTTGAATTTAAAATAAGACTATCTAACATGTTGAGGTTATTGTGTAAGGTGACTGGAGGTGTAGGTGTTATTGCGTATGACAACCGAAGGTGTAGGTGTTATTGTGTAAGACAACCGAAGGTGTAGATATCATTGTGTAAGATGACTGGAGGTGTAAGTGTTATTGTATAAAACAACCGAAGTTGTGGGTGTTATTGTGTAAGACAACCGAAGGTGCAGGTGTTATTGTGTAAGATGACTGGAGGTGTAGGTGTTATTGTGTATGACAACCGAAGGTGTAGGTGTTATTGTGTATGACAACCGAAGGTGTAGGTGTTATTGTGTAAAACAACCGAAGGTGTAGGTGTTACACATGTTGTAATGTTATAAATATACATATTACACATGTTGTAATGTTATCAATATATATGTTACACATTGTAATGTTATCAATATACATGTACACATGTTGTAATATTATCAACATACATGTTATACATGTTGTAATATTATCAATATATATGTTACACATGATGTAATGTTGTCAATATATATGTTACACATTGTAATGTTATCAATATACATGTACACATGTTGTAATGTTGTCAGTATACATGTTACACATGTTGTAATGTTATCAACATACATGTTGTAATGTTATCAATATATATGTTACACATTGCAATGTTATCAATATACATGTTATACATGTTGTAATGTTGTCAATATACATGTTACACATGTTGTAATGTTATCAACATACATGTTGTAATGCTATCAACATACATATTACACATGTTGTAATGTTATCAATATACATGTTATACATGTTGTAATGTTATCAATATATATGTTACACATTGTAATGTTATCAATATATATGTACACTTGTTGTAATGTTGTCAGTATACATGTTATACATGATGTAATGTTATCAACATACATGTTATACATGATGTAATGTTATCAATATATATGTTACACATGTTGTAATATTATCAATATATATGTTACACATGTTGTAATGTTATCAATATACATGTTACACATGTTGTAATGTTGTCAATATACATGTTACACATGTTGTATTGTTATCAACATACATGTTATACATGTTGTAATGTTATCAATATACATGTTACACATGTTGTAATGTTATCAATATACATGTTATACATGTTGTAATGTTGTCAATATATATGTTACACATGTTGTAATGTTATCAATATATATGTTACACATTGTAATGTTATCAATATACATGTACACATGTTGTAATGTTATCAATATATATGTTACACATTGTAATGTTGTCAATATACATGTTATACATGTTGTAATGTTATCAATATACATGTTATACATGTTGTAATGTTGTCAATATACATGTTACACGTGTTGTAATGTTGTCAATATACATGTTACACATGTTGTAATGTTGTCAACATACATGTTATACATGTTGTAATGTTATCAATATATATGTTACACATGATGTAATGTTATCAACATACATGTTATACATGTTGTAATGTTATCAATATACATGTTACACATGTTGTAATGTTATCAACATACATGTTATACATGATGTAATGTTATCAACATACATGTTACACATGATGTAATATACATTATTCCACTTCTTACTAATTTCTTACTTTTTTCTTTCCTATGTTTTCAGAGGTGGATAGCTGGAGAAATCCCATTGGTTGCTCTATTCAAGAATTATCGAATCCCAACTCGTCGCGCTTGCGCAGTCGTCCCTAAGATCGGGACTCTCTCGTTTAGTGTGATTCTATCCATAAATCATCAGGACATGAATTCATATTTTACAAACTCGTACCCCGGTGACCACTACAACAGCCAGCCAGTCCAGACCCAACCTAACGGTGGTCCGTGCGAGCAAGGTCCGCGCCAATATCTGGCCCATCCACACTACGGGTCGTCCCCTAACCAAGGAGGAGGTACTTATCCACGTTTCCCTCCTTACGACCGTTTGGAAATTCGACCTATCACTTCGTCACCCAATTCCCCCAGCCCGCCTGGACCTTACTATGGGAACCACTGTGGTCAGCAAGCTCCCGGCCCAACTGGACCACCAGCTCTTCCCCATCCGCCTCAGCCAGCTCACCAGCCAAATCCCCCTCTTGGGCCAATAACACACTCTAATGCTTACGTTACACAAAACGGTCAGAACTGTAGGGGCTCGCCTAATGATCAACACCAAACCATGGCTCAGTATCCCAGCTGCAAGATGCAACAGCAGCCCCCACAGCAGCCACAGCTCCACCACGTCCCGAACGGCGTGCCTAGGCCCGTGTCGTCCGAATGCCAGCAACCCTGCCAGAGCCCTCTTCACTCGGGCCCCCCACCACAACAGATGTATCCATCACCGGCGGCAAATCCGCCCAACTCTCTTACCCCTACAGGCCAGCCTCCTTCATCCGGGGCTCTCCCGAGTCCCCTCTACCCCTGGATGAGAAGTCAGTTTGGTAGGTACCGATAAATAGATTAATTTCCTCTAATTTTCAGTGTGAACAACCATTAGTACCTCTCAGTGTGAACAACCACTAGTACCACTCAGTGTGAACAACCATTAGTATCACTCAGTGTGAACAACCACTAGTACCACTCAGTGTGAACAACCATTAGTATCACTCAGTGTGAACAACCACTAGTATCACTCAGTGCAAACAACCATTAGTATCACTCAGTGTGAACAACCACTAGTACCACTCAGTGTGAACAACCATTAGTATCACTCAGTGTGAACAACCATCAGTATCACTCAGTGTAAACAACCATTAGTATCACTCAGTGTGAACAACCACTAGTACCACTCAGTGTGAACAACCACTAGTACCACTCAGTGTGAACAACCACTAGTACCACTCAGTGTGAACAACCACTAGTATCACCCAGTGTGAACAACCACTAGTACCACTCAGTGTGAACAACCACTAGTATCACTCAGTGTGAACAACCACTAGTACCACTCAGTGTGAACAACCATTAGTATCACTCAGTGTGAACAACCACTAGTATTACTCACTGTGAACAACCACTAGTATCACTCAGTGTGAACAACCATGAGTACTACTCAGTGTGAAAAACCATTAGTATCACTCACTGTGAACAACCATTAGTACCACTCAGTGTGAACAACCACTAGTATCACTCACTGTGAACAACCATTAGTACCACTCAGTGTTAACAACCATTAGTATCACTCAGTGTGAACAGCCATTAGTTTTTCACTCCTGTGTCTGTTCTTTCCCATAATACACCGGTGTATCAGCTCCTTGTAGATCGACAAAAATGAGGAGTTTAATGTAGTTTTCTCCTGATACTTGGCTGTTTTTATCAGTAATGAACACGTTTTTTGTGTTCAACTAAAAACTATAAAATAAACTATTGTTAAAGACCCTCTAAAGAAGTTTTGATAAGATCCTTATCTGATTTCATGTATTAAAAATAAATCCATTTGATAAGAGCGAGGAGGAAGGGGGGGGGTAACGTGTTACAAGCACTATGAAAAATTAATGGTTGTACATCCCAATAACCAGTTCTTCCTTTCCAACTAACACTAGAATTACTGGTGCAGCCACGTGTTATCCATTGGTTTATCATTGAAACCACTAACACTAGAATTACTGGTGCAGCCACGTGTTATCCATTGGTTTATCATTGAAACCACTAACACTAGAATTACTGGTGCAGCCACGTGTTATCCATTGGTTTATCATTGAAACCACTAACACTAGAGTTACTGGTGCAGCCACGTGTTATCCATTGGTTTATCATTGAAACCACTAACACTAGAGTTACTGGTGCAGCCACGTGTTATCCATTGGTTTATCATTGAAACCACTAACACTAGAATTACTGGTACAGCCACGTGTTATCCATTGGTTTATCATTGAAACCACTAACACTAGAATTACTGGTGCAGCCACGTGTTATCCATTGGTTTATCATTGAAACCACTAACACTAGAGTTACTGGTGCAGCCACGTGTTATCCATTGGTTTATCATTGAAATCCTTCCTTACAGGATCTCCTAATAACAAAGAAAAATCCCACCAAAACTACAGCAATTAACACACTAATTGTTACTGTGACCCCGTGTACATTTTTACAATTTTGAGGTCAGCTTTTCCATTGAGTTTGTATAAAACTGTGTAGGAAATTAGCGTAGTGGTTGTTGAAAAATATATATGTTATAGGTCAAACCACTAAGGAGTTAATGTATATATATATATATATACCGGTTTAGGGATTTACTGTTCAGTTAATGATACCTAAAGAAGGACATTGCCCGAAACGTTGTATCCTCAATTATATATATATTAACACCTTAGTGGTTTCACCTATACATACTTTTCCATTGAGTATTGTAATTGGGGAAACAAAATTTATTAATGTGATGGATCCTCCTGGTAGTAAACGGTTTTAAAATAAGACTGATGTTGGTAACTTATATTTATCGACAAAAGTTTGTTGATGGATCCTCCTGGTAGTAAACGGTTTTAAAATAAGACTGATGTGGGTAACTTATATTTATCGACAAAAGTTTGTTAATGGATCCTCCTGGTAGTAAACGGTTTTAAAATAAGACTGATGTTGGTAACTTATGTTTATCAACAAAAGTTTGTGATGCTCGAAATGAAAGTTAAGGGAATACCATTTTGTACGCTTATGTTTCTTTTTTTGTTGTTGTTGTTATTTCGATATAAAACAAATTAAAACATTATAAAATTCTCCAAACGCTGGTCCTTCCGTGAGACAGCGGTTAGTCTATGGACTTACAACGCTAGAATCTAGGGTTCGATTCCCCGCGGTGGACACAGCAGATAGCTTAATGTGGTTTTGCTAAGAAATAAACAAACCAAACTCTGAAATAAAACATAACACAAATCACGTCCAATAGAGTAAAATACTCACATCATTGGAACCCTAATAGAACTTAAAAAAGCTTAGAAATTTGTTGTAAAAGAATCTCAACAGGAAGATGCTTCGAGATTATGTAGAAATAATTAAGTTGTTGAAATTCATCACAATTCAATTTTTATAACGTTCAATTCGAGTGAAAATAAATATGCTTGGCATCTCGTTATCAAAATATTTGTTTGGAAATAAAAATAACGTAAAATATTGTTTAATACTCTTAACTAAACGTAAAGTTCGCGTCCATAACACCACAGAATCCTTTCTGTGAAATGTTCGCGTCCATAACACCACAGAATCATTTCTGTGAAATTAAACCCCCATCGAGAGATCAACAAGAAAAACACTTGAGAAGTTAATGATGTGAAAATATCCGTAAACATTTATGGCCAGTTAAAGAAACTTGGTGTTATATAGCTAAACACCATAAAGCCTGCAACATCTCTAGAATGGTATCATATATATAAACACCATTGGCTGTAACACTACCAAACTGGTGTTATATACATAAACAACATAAAGACTGTAACACTACTAAATTGGTGTTATATTCATAAACAACAGTTTATGAATATAACACCAATTTGCTAGTGTTACAGACTTTATGTTGTTTATGAATATAACACCAGTTAGCTAGTGTTACAGACTTTATGTTGTTTATGTATATAACACCAATTTGCTAGTGTTACATATTTTAAGTTTGCCAGTGTTACAGACTTTATGTTATACAGATAACTCTATCAAGTATTAATGACGTATATTTTAGTTTCTTTTCAATACAATTGAAAAATTTTCATCTCGTTCTTGTTTAAGTATATAACATCGTGTATTATAGACACACAAAATACGTCATTAATACTTGATACAGTTATCTGTATGTATTTTGTGTGTCTATAATACACGTCATTAATACTTGATAGAGTTATCTGTATGTATTTTGTGTGTCTCTAATACACGTCATTAATACTTGATACAGTTATCTGTATGTATTTTGTGTGTCTATAGTACACGCCATTAATACTTGATACAGTTATCTGTATGTATTTTGTGTGTCTCTAATACACGTCATTAATACTTGATAGAGTTATCTGTATGTATTTTGTGTGTCTATAATACACGTCATTAATACTTGATACAGTTATCTGTATGTATTTTGTGTGTCTATAGTACACGTCATTAATACTTGATACAGGTATCTGTATGTATTTTGTGTGTCTATAGTACACGTCATTAATACTTGATAGAGTTATCTGTATGTATTTTGTGTGTCTATAATACACGTCGTTAATACTTGATAGAGTTATCTGTATATCATTTTATGTAACATCAAGTAAACTACGCATATTACACTAATACATGTGTATATGTATAAAAGGTCATACGTGCATACAACGTAAACGTTAATGTCAATTACTGCTGGTCGTTGAGAACATTTATTCTCCTGTATGAAGTTAGTTTTCACGATATATGAAACTAATATATAACTTTATGAGACTATTAGAAAAATGGTCACGTCTGGTACACACCATATTGTTTCCAGGATTCAATTCACTATATTACGTTCCTTTAACAGTTTTATTTGGCCCGAGTGTTGCAGCTAAAAAATTCCTTTTCAGGAGCAGAAAATGTAACTCTTATTGAAACGAGAACAGGGAAATGAAACGTGTTACTACTTTCTATGTGGCGAGGCTTAAAAGGAGGCGATTTTTTAGAGACGGATTGAACTGAGTTTGAAAGACATTTTCGGTGTTTTATAAAATGGAGGCAAGCATTATCTTTAAAATCACTTCTCTGTGTGAAAATTGTTGGATTGTACGATATTATTCTAAGCTGCTACGCCCCCCAGTGGCGCAGCGGTATGTCTTCGGACTTACAAAGCTAGAATCCGGGTTTCGATACCCGTGGTGGGCAGAGCACAGATAGCCCATTGTGTAGCTTTGTGCTTAACTTCAAACAAACAAACTAAGCTGCTACGTGATACGCATAGATTGTTAGGTCGTTTATTGTGTTCTAAATAAAACGTATATTTACGGTAGAAATGATAATATATCTATTTTATTGTGTTCTAAATAAAACTTATATTTACGGTAGAAATGATAATATATCTATTTTATTGTGTTCTA